CGAGACAACGAATCATCATGTCTTTCAAGTGAAGATAACGAAAGTATGAATGAAGAAGAAGAAGATGAAAATCTTAATATTGACCATGACGAAGAAATTATTGATCAACGTTTACTTATTGATACAGCTGCACTTGATGCAGCTATTGTTGATGCTGATGCTATTGCAGATCAAGAAGTCATCTCACATAATAATAATGACGATAATGAACAAAGCGATTCCACTTCAAATAACTAAAATTTTTCTTTCAAAATTTTTTTATACCTACGCATGAATGTTGTGCCAAACTTTTTTTCTAATGTACTTAGATATGCATATACATGTAACCTGTTGTTTTATTGAGAAAAAAAACAATAAACAAGTAAATATGACTAACGATTATCGTTAAGAGTAGAATGTAAAACATATCAAAGTTGAACTTTGAAATACAAATGTCATATATAATTAATGCGATGCGAAGCAAAGCATTTATGTAGTCTTTCGTGCGTTTTCTTGCTTTCTCGACGTACGCATTCAAAGTTGTCATTTTATGTTATGATTACCTCAGCAACGAAATATCGAAATCGTACTGATGCCATTCGTTTATAGGAAGCGTCGCAAAAACACGATTTTGACTTTTTCGAATTTCGAGATAATAAAAACAAAAAGTAGAAGCAAAATTTAGGCGTCACTTTTCTCTAACAACTGTTTTAAAGATGAAACTGCAGCTGATAATATGAGTAGAGACACTAGATATACCTGTAAGCTAACTACCTTTATATCTTAAGGATGTAGGCGGATGTCAGTAATTAGAATATATATGATACACTCATTCTCCAATTCGACAAATTTAAGAAAAGAATGTTTTATTTAGAATGTTGCTATTGAAAAGATTAGTATATCATATAATAAAGTTATTCATGGCACCTGGTATTTTTTTTGTTTAATATTAATCATAAATACAGATGTTACATACAAAGAAGATCTATGTTTATACAAGTACATTAAACTTTTACTATTGCTATTCAAAATCTGAGAGTATATTTTACAGATAATTTGATAAATTACGAACAGTTAACTTCTTTATGCAAATGTTTCATAAGATGATATGTCATAGTTTTCAAAAATAAATTTTATAGTTGAATATAAGTTACTTCTAAAAGATAACACAAACATACTGATTATTAAAAAATTATACATGATCAACTAGTTTTCTGCATTACTGATGTTTTCAAAATAGATAGATAGAAGTATTACAATTCAATTCTCAAAAATAAGAAGTCTTGTTGAATAACTTTAATTTTTTGTTTTCAGAGTTGGATGATATTGAAATGCCTTTAATAAATTTTTTCATGTATACGCAAATACTTGTTAATGCTTTTTGTAAGACGACCAATCAATTGGGAAACTGACAACTAAAAATAAATATGTGAATGTCTATCATAAAAGATTGAAACCTAATTAAGAAGATATAAAGCTTTACAAAGGTTTACAACTGATCATTATATTTGGTGGCAAGTAAGTGAGGATGGTCGATTAGATCATGCATATTAGGTGGACGAACATGATTTTGAGTGCAACGTTGAATAACTGAAGATTATTATGTTGTTAGTATTGACGAAGTGATCCGTTTTGTGAATATTCGCATAACTCGCAAGTTCCATAGAAAAAAGTCATTTTTTTGCCAAAACTCAGTTTGTAATAAAAAAACGACCGTAGACTATATTTCAACATAGAAATAAAATAATATAAATGTTTTGTGTATGAATACCATTATCTTGTTGATTTTTTTAAAAGTATAATGTCTTCTACAAAATAATTATTTTCAACATTCGAGTCTTCAATAATATCAAACACGAAAACAGAAAGAAAAAAATTCTTGGAGATTCTTTTTTTTGCTTCATCAAAATACGTCGTACAATTTCTTTTCGCGGATTATTTTAGTGACCAGCAATCGCAAGAATACTTAACCATTTCTTTTTCGTTCTCTGCTTATTACTAAGAAATGTCTGTGTTGATGTTTGTTTGTTTTTCATAACAACACCTACAATAGTTACTTAAAAAGGCTTTGTTGTCCATTTCAAAAAAATAGAAAAACAAATCTCGATAGGAAGTAGAGACACTATAAAATGAGACACTTTCGTAATTCTTCCATTCACTAATTTTTTCAAACTATTCAAATACAACATATTCATATTACACACAACAAATAATCACAGTCGATGGCAACTAGCAAATTAAGTGGCACAAAAAACATTCACCCATCATCTGGGGACTCTACGCGTACAACTGAAATTCGACGTATGAACATGCAAAGAATGCAAAATGTCCTCCTCATTTGGTTGGACAACAATATTAATGAAACTACTGCTGATTGTAGTAATACAATCAAACAATTAAAACGTGTAGTTAACAACGTAAACACGTTTACTGATGGTGAAGAATGTGTGGAATTTATTCAAACCATTAATAACAACAAAGTATGTATGATTGTTTCTGGTTCACTTGGGAAACATATTGTGCCTCATGTGCATGATATGTCCCAAGTAGACACCATTTTCATTTTTTGTAACAATCAACAATGGCATAAACAATGGGCCAAAGAATGGCCCAAAATAAAAGGAGTCTTCACAGATATAACATCAATCTGTGAAGCTCTCAAGGAAGCTGCTCACCAATGTGAGCAAAATGCCACATCAATCAGCTTTGTGGCATCAAACAAGAAATTGGATCAATTAGATCCATCATTTATGTATACTCAGATCTTGAAAGAGATCTTATTAACCATCAAATTCGAAGACAAACATTTCAAAGAATTTATTACTTATTGTCGTGAAGTATATAAAGATGATGAAAATGAATTACAAAATGTTAATCAACTACAAACAACATATAAAAACAACATACCAATATGGTGGTATACATGGGATGCATTTTTATATCGTATGCTCAATCAAGCATTAAGACAAATGAATGTTGATATGATTGTCCGAATAGGTTTCTTTATTAAGGATCTACATCGTGATATTCAACGACTACATTCGGAGCAATTTGATGGCCATCAATCAGGTACAACACTTACAGTTTACCGTGGACAAGGTCTTTCAAAAGAAGATTTCGCCGAAATGACAAAAACTAAAGGTGGACTTCTTTCATTCAACAACTTTTTATCAACTAGTAAAAATCGTGATGTTTCTCTTAACTTTGCACAACAAGCTGCTACGAATCCTGATCTTGTTGGAATTTTATTTGTTATGTCAATTAATCCTACGAATTTAACAACTCCATTTGCTTCTGTTAGTGATGTTAGTTATTTTCATACAGAAGATGAAGTTCTCTTTTCTATGCATACTATTTTTCGTATTGGAGACATTAAACCAATGGATGGAAACAGTCATCTCTATAAAGTGAATTTAACATTGACTAGTGACAATGATCAAGATCTTCGTACTCTTACTGATCGTATACGACAAGAGACCTTTCCAGATAATGAAGGATGGGAGAGATTAGGATTACTGTTAATTAAAATGGGACAGTTTAAGAAGGCTCAAGAAGTGTATGCAGTTTTACTTCATCAAACAACGGATGAAAGTGGTAAGGCATCTATTTATGATCAACTAGGTAAGATCAAATATAATCAGGGAGAGTATCCAGAAGCACTTACATACTATGAAAAAACACTTGCTATTGATCAGAACACACTTCCTTCCAATCATCTTAATTTGGCTGTATCCTATAACAACATCGGTGTGGTGTATAGAAAAATGGGTGATTATTCAAAAGCACTTTCATTTTATGAAAAAGCCCTTGCAATTCGACAACAATCACTTCCTTCCAATCATTCTGATTTGGGTGGTTCCTATAACAACATCGGTGCGGTATACAACGATATGGGTGACTATCCAAAAGCACTTTCTTATTATGAAAAAGCCCTTGTAATTCGACAACAATCACTTCCTTCCAATCATCCTGATTTGGGTGGTTCTTATAATAACATTGGTAATGTGTATTACAACAGGGGTGATTATCCAAAAGCACTTTCTTATTATGAAAAAGCTCTTGCAATTGGACAACAATCACTTCCTTCCAATCATCCTGATTTGGGTGGTTCTTATAACAACATCGGTAATGTGTATAGAAACATGGGCGATTATCCAAAAGCACTTTCTTATTATGAGAAAGATCTTGCAATTGGAAAACAGTCACTTCCTTCCAATCACCCTGACTTGGGTGCTTCCTATGACAACATCGGTATGGTGTATGAGTTTATGGGCAATTATTCAAAAGCTCATTCATTTTATGAACGTGCTGTACAAATTGCACAGCAATCGTTACCAACAAATCATCCTGATCTTCAAAAGTGGAGAAAAAACCTCGAAGACATGAAAAAGAAATTATAATTTTGTTTCTGTATTTTTTTTTGAAAGTAAAATAAAACTGATGAAAAAGAAAATGTGTCTCTATTGAAACTCTGCTCTTGTTGGGAACGCAATATGAGCAGTAACACTCACCAGTAAGGTAAACAATACATATTGAAAAAATATGTATTGTAGAAAAGATCTTCACAGTTACATTATTATATCTGAACAAGTAGAGTTTCGCTGTGTTAGATACGAAAGAAAGATACTCAACAGAAACATAGTAGAATACAAGAAGAGAAAAAATTTATTTTATTGATAGAATAAATTATTCTTTCTGTTCCAATATTAGAAAATAGTTCATACTATTGATAAACTCATCCATATTAAATTTATGATATGATTTATTATCGTTTGTTTAAACTAGATGTAGCGATTGCTAGATATCGAAGGAAAAAGAGAGTATTCACATGTCATATGAGAGGCGAATCAAGATTAAAGAGAAGTTTTTTTTGTTCTATTGATAATTGAAGTAAATATTTTTTATAAGTATGTTGCAATAAAGATACAAATATATGATATTATAAAAGTGTAAAATAGATGTTCAATCCACATTTGGATTGTCTGATTTATAATTTTCTCAAATAAATATCTATGGAATGGAAGAATAGAGGCATCGTATTTTGAATATAACTTAAGACAACATTGAGAGTATATATTAATATTATGTGTAGTATTGATACCATTTGTAGTTCTACATTCTGTAATTTGTTTTACACAATAAATGATAGTTTCCATAGTACATAAACACACAGTATTACATTAGTCAATATACACATAAAGAAATGTTCAGTTTCTCATACTCGAATGCAATGCTTTCATCCGAATCAATAACGCAAAAATAATAAAGAACTGCTTCGATATATGAAATTGTTATCGAATAACAACAAATCATCGGGAGAATAATCAGAAAGTATCTATGTATATTTCATTTACCAATGGATAGTAAAAATCATTGTGCCAGATGGTACATCTAATTGATTCACTGAACTTATCTTCTTTTTACTTCTAGATTAATGATTATTTCATTCAATATGTATACAGTCATCTTAGTCTTTCTCTGTAGTAGTAATCTCACATGATTAAGTTATATTCTTATATGCCCTGTTTTTAAGATATTTAGGAATCTCTTTATCTTTACCATGAATACAAATATCGGTTTTACTTTCCAAAATAACATCCAAATGTTAAATCTTTATACAATTATTTATTTTTTTCAATAGATGAAAACCAGTTTTATTCAAAGATATATTTGAATAAACTCATGCTTTGAAATACATACATCATGTTTCAGCCGCATTAATAGTAAGAATATATTTCCTTCGTATAGATCTTAATACAAATAATTTCATTAAGATTTCATTGACATCAATAGATATTCTTTAACTTTAAATAACAAAAATGTTTCGACAATATAAATTTGACTTTATTCTATCACAATCGTGAATGCTGAGAATTTTGAGAAAATCTGAAAATCATTATTTCGAAATCGAACTTTGCATCGCATTTCGGAGACGAGTCTCGACTCGTGTGCTTTTAGTTTTCGAGCTATACCATAATATCGATCTTTTATGCGATTATTAAGTGTACTACGCAAAACAATTGATATGTAAATACAAATGAGAGTATATTTAAACTGCAATTATACTTAAAAATAATCTATTTTTCTAGACCTTGAGTAAGATCAAATGAAGTTTCTGTAAAGTTCTGAATTTAGTATTTTTTTGGCTTAATATAATAGAAAGAAACGATATATTATCATAGAAGTCATAAATCACTAGATATATTAGAACTCTTGAAGAAATTATTTTCATTAAAGACTTTCAAAACAAAAAATTTTTCGTTCTGTCTCGCAAAGTTGCAAACTAATCCTTGGTAGAATAAAGAACTTATAAAGAGGAAATTATTCTAAGACTGATCGACAAATTTGTTTAGATGAAGATGAAATCAATATTCTTTTAGTTCTAAACATAAATAAACAAAGATTAAAAGAAATTTATCCTCTACTCTTTAAAATATACAAGAATAGAGAAATAAATTTAATATTATAACTAAAAAGTTCTAATTACGATAAAGACAACGACAATGAACATATCTTACCTTTGCCGTGTTCATTGTTTAAGTTCCAATAGTTCATTTATTCTGATCTACTCATTGTGTTTGAGAATAATCGAACCAAGTTTATAAACTAGTCAATAACATATATGTCTTATATTTTTTATAAATATGTATATTGATGATCAAAAGCAAGTCAACGTATCCATCTTCAACTAATTGATCATCTAAAAAAGAAAACAACAACTTATAATCATGCTTCTTTTATCCATTTCAATATATAGTGATATTAAAAGCAAAGAATCTTTATGTGAGAAAACAAATATGAGTCCTGAAAATAAAGTAAAATGTTTTATAATAATTTACATTAACCAATCAAATATTAATTTCATTCATCTGTCAGAATCAAAGATATTATTTCAAAGTAAGATTCACTCTGACTAGACATCTCATCTCTAGTTCTTAGCTGAGACAGATTCATGCTTAATTTTATCATATTACATTATCAAAATTATCTATTATAAAGGCACAAATACATTGAAAAATAAGAAGAAAAAATTGTATGTTGATTCTAAACATGCACGAGTATTTTTTCCAAAATTTTACTTATTTATGTGCATTCAAATCCTGAAAGAAATATTATTTCACCATAGATTTTGAATACCACTATATTAAAAATTGTATTAGTTCTTGTCGCCAACGATTTGTTGATTATATTACCGAACTAGAAAATGTTACTAAACTTAAAGCAGAGTGTCTTTCTCATTCACCGACTTAGTAGTTCATTCTGAACAACATACTGTTCAAGTTTAATTGAATTCATTTATTGTTTATCATAGTCAACGTGTGTCACGGAAGCAACTCGAACGATTGATGAAAACACAAGAAGGATTATTATCATTCAATATTTCGTATTGGTTAAAAAGAACAAATTGGTAATAATAATCGATTATAAAAAGTAGAATAAAAATTAACTAAGGATAGTGATGAACAACTTGTTGTCTTAACTGAAGAGATGCGTGAAGAAACAAAATGAAGCGATTGACTCGATGAATTCTTAATAAAATTAGGTCAACTCAACCTAAAGTTGAACAAGAAGAATATGCAAACTTAATCAGATTTTCACTAAAATCATACTTACCAATCAATAGGAAAAACATCGATCAATAAATGAAAATACCATTTTATCATAAAACAAACATATTTTTATAATACAATTCACATGTTTTAATAATATCTTTTTTCACCAAACGTATATATTGATGATAAAAAGCAAATCGACATATATACTCTAATTTTTTTCTATATTCAACTAATTGATCATCTAAGACGATTATTTGAGAAGAGCGCAACAAAATTCAATCATATATATTTTTTACATTTTTTTT